GTGCACAGATTTGTGGGCCGTGGAAGCCTTCCCAGGCGCTGCCAGCACCGTGGCATCCGCTCTGCTCGCAGCCTGGCCAGTTCCGAGGTTAAATTGAGACATCCTCCCAACGGCCCCCTCTGAACCACTTTTCCAAGACACCGACGGGGGTTTGCGTGAGGTCAGAGCCCGGGAGGGCACTTCCTCCTGCCCCCCTTCCCCCCTCCGCCTCCTCCAGCTGCTGGGGACGGAGCTTCCAAGGGCCTTAAATTACAGGGCAGCACAGCGAGCCTCTGCTGCCCCGGTCCCCACCCCACTCGTCAGGACCGATTTATCAGGATGAAGTAACAGAGAAGCCACAGGCTCCGGTCCCGAGAATGCCAGCGCGAGCCACGCCGCCCCACCTCCGCTGTCTGCCCGGCCGCCAGCGTGCGGCAGGGGCCTGGCCGAGCGCCTCAAGCGGCAAAGCCGGCTTAAGCGTTTCCGTTTTCTGCTTGGCGTCTTCTGATGCCGCTGGCCCCGGCCACTTCGAAAATGTAAGAAGTTAATTTTCCTCTCCCAGCTTCCCACACACCAGATATATTTAGGGAGCTAAATATTCTACAGTTGCTGAGCAGACTTTGTATTTATTCCTGAAGTCTCGGTGTGACCTTTACATTGGGGGGCAGTCGGGCGTGTCTGGTGTAAATTTATGTTGCACTTCAACACCCCCAAACTAACGAGCACAATTTGTTAAAACTATTAGTGGATAAACGTACTCAGGACTGATTGTGATGTTTGAAAATGCTGTTATCTTAGAATTTCAAATATTTTAAAAACATTTTAAGAACTGACATTTCTATAGTATCTATTACGGTCAAGGTAGGAACAAACAAACATACAGCATATTTTGTACGTTATGTGATGGTTTGATGACTAATGTTTATCATTTCTGTTGGCATAGCCCATAGTACAGGCGGAGGTAACTCGGGAGTGTCTCCAATGTTTCCTACAAGGCGTGTCCTAATGACCACTGGGTCCCCCCAGCCCCCCAAAATTAAAGGTATCATTGTAAAGCTCCAAGGAACTGTATATATTTTCTCTCTGGTCACAGCAGCCAAAGAACACTGTGAGATACTTTTCAACATGTTGAGAGGAAAAAAAAAAAGCAGCCACTTCCTGCTGGATGCTCAGGAACTCCGGGATGCTGAGACCGCTCCGTTTTCTCTGTCTTCCTTCCTGAGCTCCCAAGCGGTGCATTGATGCAAGACCTAAAAGAAGTGTCTGGAGGAGCTGCTCGGATAACAAGACATTCTAGCACACACCTCCAGCCACACACTGTTTATTTGTGGAGGTGACCTCAGTTTCTGCCTTGCCAGACACTGTCTGAGAAAAGGCGAGGTCAGTGTGTGCCACAGAGACACCTGTCACTGTCCCCTCAGATCAGATAGGGGACTTCAGGGTGGACGGGGGTGAAACTATTGCTCAACTTGCTTAAACAGTCAGAAGCCGTGTTGTTTTCCAAGCACCTTAACTTCCTGAGATGAAGAGGGCGTCAGAGCCTCCCTCCTGAACTCGGGATTCCAGTGAGGTGCTCCCCTTGTTTAATTGGACGGATCATTACGACTCCCTCGGCGCTTCACTCTGAGCATCTCGTAGGGGAAGGGGTTAACATGTTGACTGAGGGGTGTTTCGTGTCGCCAAGCACGGGGCTGTCTCTGCTCCTCATCAGCTCCCCCAGCCACGCGAGCACAGCATTGTCTCCACTCCGCAGTTCAGGAAAGCGGGGTTCACAGCCAGGACGCGGCACTCCCCACGTCGCAAAACCAGCAGCTGCGGCGCTGAGCCCGGCCCTGGCAGCCAGCCGTCCTTGTAATTCCCAACAGGAAGTTTATTAGCGCCCTCTCATCAGCATGTTCTTTACCTGACTACAGAAGCATCTTCCTTTCTCTGACTGGCCTATTTCACCTAGCGTGATGCTCTCCAAGTCCACCCACACTGTCGCAAAAACGTAAGAATTCCTTCTTTCTTTCTGCTGCGTAGTATTCCACTGTGCAAGTGTGCCACAGCTTTTTCATCCACTCATCTACTCGTGGGCACCTGGGCTGCTTCCAAATTGTGGCTGTTGTAAGTAATGCTGCTGTGAACATAGGGGTGCGTGTATTCTTTAGAATTAGTGTTTCGTTTCTATGTGGAGTCTAATAAACAAAATAGGAACTGATTCATCGACAGAGAACAGACTGACGCTGTCAGAGGGGAGTGGTGTGAGGAGGACTGGGTGAAAAAGGTGAAGGGACTGAGCAAAAACAAAAACAAAACAAACAAAAACAAAACAAAGAACAACCCCACTGACACAGACAACAGTGTGGGGGTGACCAGAGGGAAGGGGGCGGGGAGGGGACACGGGGATGGATGGTGAGGGAAGGAGACTGGACTCGGGGTGGTGGGCACGCAGGACAGTGTACAGATGATGTGTTAGAGAATGTACACCTGAAACCTGTATACTTTTGTTGTCACCCCAATAAATTCAATTTAAAGAAGATTTTTAGAAAAACCTTTTCCTCGTTCCAATGCCAATAATTAGATCACATCACGGCTTAGCTTTGAACCATCTGTAAGCCAAACCATGACCTCCGAACGCAGCTGCAGTGCTCCGTTCGAGAACAAGCCTGCCGCTGACGGAGACCCAGGGCCTGTTAACGGGCCGCACGCCCTTCAGAGCCCAGAGGGGCCGGTCAGTGCCACCGGGAAGAAAAGGAAGCAGGCCTGAAGAAGAGGGATGGGATGGTTTCTCATTCGGTCTGGGAAGTGGACATAAAACTGGGCCCCCGTCCAGTGTGAAGTAGTGTCACCCGGGCATGCCACTCAGGGCCACGGAGACGCGAAAGCCCTTTCCAGGAAAGAAGCCGGCACAAACAGAACCGGCCTGCCACCCCCACCCCGGTCGAGGAAGGCGATGTCCCTGCAGGCTGCTACCTGGCCCACGGCCTCTTGCCCAGCGGTCTGCGCGAATAGAGACATCAAGAGCCATGTCTGTCACTGCTATTCTTGCATGCGCTTTTTTTGGCTTCTGTGGAAATAGAAGCACCGGGAATTACATGCTCAAACATGTCCACATTCTTGGCAAAGCAACAGAAAAATCCCGGGGGTCAAGTTGGTGATAGAGTGTCCACCAAATAGCTATTTTATGGCTGCATCTTATCAGTGACAAAAGCCTGTGCAGTGGACACCGAAAGCCGGAGCAGATTTCATCAGGTGGCTGTGGGACCGCACTGTGGCCACCTCGCAAACCAGAGACGGCACAGCCCACGCCTGCTGGAGCCACGTGAGCTGCCCCGGGCTCCGCAGGAGGTGTCCGGGAAGGAAGGCTGCCTGGACTCAAGGCCACGGGCCATCTGAGCTGGCAAATGAGTTTGGACCAAAGTCTGACCCTGGTTTCTCATCTCAAACAGGCGGGCAGGGCTGGCGTCACGCCTGTTCCATGGGCCAGGTGTTCGGGCCCCAGCGAGGTCATCGGGGTCGGTTTGCTCCAGGAGAAAGGGCTGTGCACAGGCGTCCACCCGCCCTCGTGACCCACCTCTGGTCCTTCCTCAGGGCAGCCCGGTGGCCAGTGACCCCGAGAGCCCTGGCCGGGGAGGGAGGGGGAGCGGACTGCCCCTGTGAGCAGCCAGCCTGCGCATGGACTTCCGTGCGGACACTGCTGCCGCAGAGCAGCCCACATCCACGGGCTCGGGTGCACGTGGAAATAGAGTCCTGCCCTGAGGTCCAGTGTCCGGTCTCAGCCTTTCCCTCCCAGTCCCCTCGGGCCCGTGCCCAGGGCGTGGGCACAGCAGCAGGGCAGCCTCAGGCAGAGACGGCCCTGACCCAGGGGCCTGACAGCGGGCAAAGGCTGGTCTCGAACGCCGTGCCAGCCCCCCGCCCCAGCAAGCCACTGCCCACGTGCCGGGTGTCCTGTCCGTCCTCGGAGAGGCGCAGCGAGCCTGTTGACGGGCCTGGGATGCCCACGGCCACGAGAGCAGCCACGAGCCGGACACGGCCTCTCAGCAGCCTGACTCATCAAGGGCCCGTAAGGATGAAACAGTCTTGTTGGATTGAAATAATTAAATAGAGTTGATTTCTGAAACAGGTCACTTGGAATTAAAGCCATGGAACGGAGTGCTTTTTCAGAGGAATGACGTGGGCGATGGCAGGGGGCTGTGGCTCCCGCGGAGAAGGACCCCCGACGGGGGCGGCGGGGGGGACCGTCGGTGTCCCCAGGGGGAACAGCGCTGGTGCCAGTGCCGCGCAGCAGAGTGAGCGCCCCCTGCCGGGCGGCGGCGGGACCGACTGTGCTGCTGCTGCGGCTGCTGCTGTGTGGGCTGCAGAGCCGCTCGCTCACGGCTTCCTCGTAACCCCAGGAAGCGCGACAGCTTCGAGGTGACCGTGAAATACAGCAGGAAAACCGTGGGCACAGACACACAGTTATACCCTGGTGTGGGTCCGGGGTCGTCCTGCACAGCAGGGGCTCCCGGTCGGGTTCCGGGCCAGGGCCCAGGCCCGGGTGGCGGGGCCTGGTCCTCGCGTGGGGCGCGTGCGAGAGGTAACCAATGGATGTTTCTCCCCCTCTCTTTCTCCCTCCCCTCCTCTCTCTCAATACATAAAATCTTCAAAAACTTTACTTAAAACATAACATACTCATGTTCTATTAACAGCCGGCAGAACCAGAGAGGGTCGGGGTGGAGCAGGGAAGGGGAGAGTATCCGGGCGTCGCCCTGCATGGCACGCCCCCCTGCCCCCACCCCGTGTGGGTTTTCCCAGACCCCTGAGCCCCCAGGCCCCGTGGGGGCGCTGCAGAGACTCAGCAGCGAGCAGCAGCGCAGGGGGCAGAGCCGCCCGCCCAGGCCCCGGGGCTCCCGCCCGCCTGGGGCCGGGCAGGCGGGGTCTGTGCGCACCAGCCCGCAGGCCTGCGCTCCCTCCGTCTCGGCCCCCCGGGCGGGCTGCTCCTCGGCTTACCCGAGCCGACGAGACTGAGACGGAGAGAAGGGAGACGAGAAGACCCTCACCTGCAGCTGCTGGTCTAGCTCGGGGAGGACCGGCGGGGCGGCGTCTTCTTCGGGAGGCGAGTCATCTGAAACAGCGGAAGGAGGCGGCTTTCACTGCGGAGCCCTTGGGCGCACGGGAGCCGCCCCGCGGTTCAGCCGCCGCGGCCCCTGCCCCGTCGCCCCCGTCGCTCGGGTTGCAGACACCCAGAGCGCAGGAGACCGTCCTGGTCCTTTTCCATGCAAACCGGGGGATCGGGAGCTCCGGCCGCCAGGCCGAGACCTCGCAAACGGTCCCGGGTGGCTCTCCGGCTCAGAAGCGCCGCCCGGCCGCCAGCACCCCTGCGTCGCCCGGAAGCGAACACGTGAGGTCCGGGGAAGCGCTTCGACGGGCGCCAGTGGGGTGAGCGGACCCCCGCGGGTCAGAGGGCGCGCGTGAGCCACCACGAGGGCCTCACTCGGAAGGGCCAAGGGCCGGGGCAGCCGGCTCCCACGGCTCTGGTCTCCGCCCCTACGGCCCCTCCCCACCCACGGGCAGTTAACCAGCGCGTGGCTCTGGGTCCCCCGGGGACAGGGCAGACACCCGGCCGGGGCCCGCCCGCTACAGGGGTCCAGGAGAGAGGGGCACCCCTGCCTCCGGGCCTGTGGCCTGGCAGGTGTTGCTGGGTGAACAGAGGCAGACCCCACAAGTGTCGGAGGGAGCCTGAGAGGAGTTTGGCCTAAAATGCCCCAGTCGCCCCTGACCCCTTCAAGAGCGTCCTGCAGACAAGCCATGGCAGGAGGGGTCCGCTGCCCCGCCAGCAGGGCCTCCGCAGCCCAGGGGACACAGGCTCCGCCCTGCGGCGGGGATCCCCACTCGCGCTCCCTCCTGCTGACAGCCCCTCCGAGGAGCACGGGACGAGGAGACTCAGACAGATCACAGGCTAGAGGGTGACGGAAACCCAGAGCGGTCGTCCGCGGTGGTGAGGAAAAGGAAGACGGCGTCCTTGCTCTCTCACCACTGCAGTCCGGCCTATCTGTGCCGACAGCTGAAGCTCAGCGAACGAGAGGGGCGGCGGGCCGTGGGCGCAGCTCCGGCTGCAGCCGGCGCTGAAGACATCGCCGGGAAGACGACCGAAGTGAGGACGCGCTCACCTCGGCCGCAGCCTCACCCGGAACAGCCTGAGCTGTGGGTGCACACGAAGAGCAGCGGCCCGACAGCCGCCCGCCGACGGTGGCTCAGGGCAGGAACCGCGGGTCCCAGTGGGGACCCTGCCCACAGGTCGGGGGACAGTCTCCAGCGGAAGCACGTCCCTGGGCCCCTCCAAGGCTCCCTTCCCGCGCAGGGCGGAGGGGACAGCTTCTGCCCGGTGCTGCGGGCTTCAAACCCACCTTGGTTGTTTGCCAGGACTCGACCAAGGACAGAGATGCTCGCTTCTGGCCACCACCCTGTTAGAGGTGGCCTTCGTGATCAAACCTCCAGTCTTTTCAACCGATCTGGGTCAAAGGTACACTTAAATACACTTCAATAAAATATCAGCTTCCCAGACATCATGATTATTTTGGCTCAGTGAGTTCAAGGCCAGAACACTGTGGGCAAACGGGAACGCCTTATACTTTGGTGTCTGAACCCCGACGACACGCACAGGGGAGCAGGCGTGTGGGGGCAGAAGCCAGCTGTGGGAGGAGCGGCGCGGGCTGTAAATCGAGGGTGCCGAGGGCTGGCAGGGAGCGGCGCTGGGGCTCCCCGGCCTCCGTCCACCCTGCGCCCCGAGAAGCCACGCTCCTTCCCCCTCTGTTACGGACAAGAATTCATGCGCTTTGCCCCAGCAAGGGAGACAGCAGAGACCTGGCGTGACCCCGAATTAAGCAGGCCCATGCGTCGTCACTGATGGTCACAGCACATGCGGGCACACGCGTGAGGCCACGCCGACAATCTGCAGGTCAGTGAAGGCTTCCCATGGGGTTCCCGGGCTGCTAGAACGCCCTGCTTGGCTGACAGAGAAGTAAGTATGTGGTTCCTGGTTTACAAGGACAAGCAAGATAAACGTAGGACTCTTACTAAAAACGAATCGAGTTGGATTAATCCACACAGGACAGGGCGGCGGAAACAAGGGACCCAGAGACTGACATCAGGCGCCGGCTGAGCCTGCGGCCAGCCCTGCCCATCCCGCCCGGCCACCTGCTGTGGCCGGCACCCCCGCCACCCCCGCCAAGAGTGGCAGCTCACAAAGCTGCTCACTACTCGGCCCACGCCGGTGTGTGGTGTGCTTGCTTTTACACGGTGGCTACCTTCCGTGGCGGGCTTTAGAAATAGGCAAATGCGCTAAAAGCAGAACAGTGAATCACAGGATTGGGCCAAGAGGAGAGGAGGGGGTGGGTCAGGCCTCGAGGACCACAGCTGGGCCGTGACCGGCCAGGGCGCCACCGGACGTGCGGTCGGTGACACAGGGTCGGCCCCCGAGCGCCGTGAGGTCCGCTCCGGCGCTTCCAGAAGCATGGGACAGCCTGTGCAGCCGCCGTGTGGGGGACACCCCCCTCACCCCCCAAGCCTGCCCCTTTTTAAAAAAAGAGCAGCTGCCAGACGGGTTTATGCAGTGACAAAATCAGATGCAGGTGCATTTTATTAAAATGCATTTATTTTCCGAATGTGCTGAAGGCGCTGACAGAGGCTCTGTGCCGAGTCGGTGGACCCTTCATCCTGTCTGCAGTGTGTCAAGGGAATAATAACTCGTCGGCGTCCTTCTCACAGGGGTGCCGCGGGCTTGACGGGCTCTGCAAACGGAGCCCAGAGACTGTTTGAAGGGTGGAGCGTAAAGGAGGAATTAGGGACCGATGCAGAAACTCCTCCCGCCGATCATCGGTGTCTCTTCATGGCAGAGAGAACACTTTCCTACTTGAGCCTCACCCGGGGACCGTGTTTTCATTGCTGTGTTTTTGTAGACAGGAAGGGAGAGAGGGTTTCCAGGGAGGGGAAGGGAGCGAAGGGAAGGGAGAGGCACATGGATGTGGGAGAGAATCATGGGTCGGTGGCTTCTCATACGGCCGGTGACCAGGGACCCCGCCCCTAGCCCAGGCCTGTGCCCTGACCAGGGATCGAACTGGCAACCTTCCGCTTTGCGAGATGATGTCCAACCCACTGGCCCATACAGCCAGGGTGACAGAGAACATTTTAACACCAAAATCAGAAGACAGATGTGATCTTAGACCGGAAGAGTGTCCGCTGCAGTGGGTCCGTTTAGCTTCATGAACAGAACAAACCCTGAGAAGCCCTCGCCGCCGCGCCCTGGTCCCTTCCCCTCCGCAGCGGAGAGGCGGGACCTTCCCAGGGCCAGACCAGGGGGTGAGCCAGCGTCCCGCAGCCACCGCTCCGGCGGCATCCTGGCTGCACTCCCGTCCCACGGGGCCTCCATCCCAGACGCAGTGGGGGCTGGGCGGGAAGACCGAATCCACGCGGAGGGGCTCCTCAGGCTCCTCCCCCTCCCCGGCCAGGGACCGGAGAGGCCGCCGGCTCAGACTCCGTGCCATCTGCCCGCTCGTCCGGCAGTCGGGGCCGGCCTCCTGGGCAGGCGCCTGCGCAGGCGCACGGAGCCCCTGGCCAGGCGGCTCACGCGGGAGTCAGGCGGTACCCAGAGGGTCTGCGGAGCCGTCGTCATCTCTGAACAGGGGCCCCGCCGTGCCGCACGGCCCCTCCATAAGCGGCGAGCCGGTTCTGTCCGGTCTGACCCCGGGGTGCGCGTGTCCCACAGCCCACCCTCCAGGGTGGCAGGGGTGAGCACACGGAGGGGGCAGGTGGGCTGGGGCTGCGGCCGCAGCGCCCAGGGTCATGCAACAGCTGTCCCTGAACTGTCTCTTCCCACTGAGGGCACTGCGGGGCTGGAGAGCATTCCGTGGGACAGACCTGCACTGGAAGCTTGGGGAATGGGGACCGTCTGCATAACCTCTCAGAGACTCAGTTTTGTCCTCTGCAAAATGGGTATGACGTTCGCTGTCTCAGAAGGCAGGTATCAGTAAAGGAACGCATCTGTCAGTCAGTTCTCCTAAAGCCTGGCACCTAGGAAGCAGTCGGTGATAATAGTAACTGTTTACTACAGTCATGTCTGATTTCCATTCCTTTTCACCGTGAGTCAGATGGCGAGGGTGATGGGGAGGCAAAGCATCTGTCTGTGCGAGTGTGTCTGTGTGTGTATGTGTATGAATGTACTTGTGTGAGTGTGTGAGTGTGTGAATAGTGCATAAGCCTGTGTGTATATGTGCATGGGTGTGTTTGTGAATGTATGAGTATGTATGTGTGTGAGTGTGAATGTGTACGAGTATGTGCATGTATGAGTGTGCATGAATGTGAGTGTGTGTGAGTGTGTGTGTGTGCACGCAGGAACCACGACGGAGGCTGCCGGCACTTCTGCTCTTCGCCCGAAGGACGCAGAGAAGCCCCAGCCCCTGATCGCGGCTCCTGGTGCCCGTCCCGGGAGGCCGCCTGGTGCGGCCACCAGCTCGGGGCCGGCCCTGTCCATTCAAATCTCCACATAAAGGTCGTTCCCTTGGACCTTCCTGTCCAAGCAGACTCCCTCCGTGACGCACTGCCCCCAGAATGAACCTATGCACGAAGGGGCCTGGAGCACTTGCACTGCGAATCTAAATGCAGATTAATGTTTCATTCATAGAAATAAAACAGCCGCCCTGGCTGGCGTAGCTCAGTGGATTGAGCGCGGGCTGCGAACCAAAGTGTCGCAGGTTCGATCCCCAGTCAGGGCACACGCCTGGGTTGCAGGCCACGGCCCCCAGCAACTGCACATTGATGTTTCTCTCTCTCTCTCTCTCTCCCTCCCTTCCCTCTCTAAAAATAAATAAAATCTTTTAAAAAATAAAAATAAAAATGAATAAATAAAATCTTTAAAAAAGGAATACGATAAGTGATACAAGGCTGCTGGTCCGTGTTAACAATTTGTCAGAGAGCTCCTCGAGGAAGCGTCTGGATACCTAGCTCCTCGTCAGAACACCACGTCGTTTCGAATCACCAGAAGCTTTTCTAACTCTGTTTCCTGCTCACTAAGCGTTGGAGATGTGCCCCTTTAATTCACACCAGGCGTTCTCAGCCATAGAATTAAAAGTATAGAAACAGGTATAAGTGTGGACACAGGTAGAGATTTGGTGTGACCCCGGGCAAGCAGTCAGCTCTTCGTGATCAACATTAGTTGGTTATGAATGTTAATCACCGCGTCGCCCGGACCCCGCCCCGCAGGCTGTCCGAAACGAGACCGCCGGCCCCGCGGCCCGGACGGTGCTTCTCCGCGCAGAGTGTGAGGCCGTGCGAGGGCGGCGGGGTTTACGCTCCTTAGAGACGCTCATCTGGTCGCCACTCTCGTGATCCAGATTCTGTGCGTCTTACCGGCTCTCCTTCCGTAAGGGCATTTTTACTTACCCAGCTTACAACACCCCCCAGAAACATCTGCTTCAGAGCGAGCCTGCGGAAGCCCATTTTCCACCCGACAACACTGGCCCCACTGTCCTTCCCCACAGGGGGTGCCTGCGGGCGCTCACCGTCCCCGGCGCTCCCGCGGCCACGGGAGGCTCGGCTCTCTCAGCTCTCTCGGGACGACGTCCCCGCATCTCCTCCACCCGTGGGCCCTGCCTCCAGAGGGGGGGCGAGGGCCTGGCTTCGGCCCCCGTCTCGGCACTGTTCACGACGGGCAGTGGGGGCACCACGGAACCTCCCCCGGCCTGGCGTCCCACCCGTGGAACGGCACGACCGCGCTCCCCTCTGAGTCGCTGCCAGGGCTGAGCGGATAAAACGACACGACTCAAAGCACCTGCCTCCTCGCTGGCCTTCTTCAAGGCCTCAGGCAACAGATTCCAGCCAGTAGATGTGGTGTGTGCCATAGAACCTGCCTCTGAAAAGGATGGTGGTTGTTCGCACTGAGTCCCTGATTTCACAGCATGTGGTAGCTAAGTTCGCGCCCTGGCACCCGCCCTGCTCTGGAAAGGGTCAGGGGTTTTCTCAGATGACGGCCGACGAGGGAGCCATCCGAAGGAGATGACCCCCAGACGAAGGAGCCCTGGATCCTGGGGCCCGGGGAGGAGGTGGAGACACAGCCAAAGGGCAGGAAGAGGTGGAGGAAGGGGTCAGTGGCAAGAGACCCGACACCTGCTTCCCAGTCTCGCCAGGAGCCCGTTTGGCACGTGACACAGAAAGACATTCACACAAACCCGGTTAAATCAGACTCAAGGGCAGCCCTGGCAGCTACACCACACAGTTGCCATGGCCACACGCGCAGCTACCCTGGCGTGGGAGGAGAAAATAGTATTTCTTAAAACAGACACCAACCGAATGGGTCTTGGATTTTTTTAAGCTGAATGCCTTGTGATTAATTTATGCCTAGCTATGAAAAATCCTGACAGCTTGCAAGATTTTTTTTTAAAACAAAATGTTGAAAGACACCAGCTCGGGCTCGTATCAGTATCCTTGACTTTTTCTAGATAAAAACCGAAAACTTTCAAAAAAAGAACCCCAAGGCGAAGGTGTACATTTACACGTGAGTGTGCCAGGTTTTAGCTACAATGGAGACGGAGAAAACTCAAGCGATAAACATGAAACCCTTAGGCCGGCGCGACCCTCAGCGCTCTCCGGTTGAGAAAGGACCCAAGAGGCGGGATCCCGTTTCTCTGCTGCACGTTTTCTGTTGGGAAAACTAACCCATCAAGGTCCTAGCTAGAAAGTGGACTCCTGAGAGTTCCCAGTGTGGACGCTGCACCCCTGGTTTATCACAGATGCAGGTTTCTGGCGATGGGCTCGTCGTCACGAAGGACTCCACTCTGCCCCCTGACAGCCTCCTCCCCTCCTCATCTCGGCCCCCGGAGACCTGTGGTCTGTCTGCAGCCTCGGGGCTCCTGCTGCTCTCCTGACTAGGGACCGACTCCCGGTCTCCGAGGGGTGGCCTGAGCCTGGGGCCTTCCTGCCCCGTCCAGAACACGCTCCGAGTCCAGCCATGGCCTCCGCGGCCCCAGGCCGCACCACACCGGCCCTGCACCACCGCAGAAAGCTTCTGCCACCTCTTCTCTCCACCTTCCAGAAGGCTTCGCCAACTGAGCACTCCACCCCCCCCCCTGCTTTCGTCACATGGCTCCCTCGCTCACAAGCTCGCACCCTTTGCTGCTTTGATCAGGTCCCAGCTCCTTTGCTGAACTTTTGCGACTGGCTTGGTAGCCCCAGCCCACTGCCGTCTGGGCAGCCACGGGTTCCGGGCGAGGCCGCGGCGCTGATGCCCAGCTCAGAGCGGGCCGGGCAGCTGCCTCTTCGTCCAGGCCCCCGCTCCAGGGGAGGAGACCTTGCGAACATACGGACTATGCCGTGCTCCTCCTGACGCAGGCGGTGCTCCTGCTTTGTGTTTGGAGGGAAAGGTGCCACCAGCAAGGGCACCGTTTCTGCACTGCCTTCCGATTCCCCACCCCCCCTCAGGCCTGGGCTGACGCCGCGTCTGCCAAGAGGCTGCGGCGTCTGCTCCGCACGTCACAGCCCCCCCACCACGCTCTCTGCCTCGGGAACCCGCAGCAGGAGCCCCACCGTGCCCCCCTTTGCGCACCTCGCCCACCTCGGGCGAGCAGAGTCCGGGAGCGCAGAGGCTGAGTCGAGCTCGGAGCACGATGGTGAGAGGAGAAGCCGGGACACCCACACCCACCGGCTGCACGACCAGTCCCCAACTCCCCGCCGGACCCTGGACGGCAAAGTCTGTGTCCCCGTCGAGGAGAAGTGTGAGGTGCGGAGGACGCAGGTGCCCGCTGAGCACTCGGTCAGAGTCGAGTGCTGTATTTGACGCCTGGACGACCCTGGGGACGACCTTCCCCATCTTGTGGGGAACTGCAGCTCAGCAGAGTCGGCAACTCACTCAGGGTCGTACAAACGCGCCCTGGCTGGCGTGGCTCAGTGGATTGAGCATGGGCTGCCAACCAAAGTGTCGCAGGTTCGATTCCCAGTCAGGGCACATGCCTGGGTTGCAGGCCATGATCCTCAGCAACCGCACATGGATGTTTCTCTCTCTCTCTCTTTCTCCCTCCCTTCCTGCTCTAAAAATAAATACATAAAATCTTTTTAAAAAACAAACAAAAAAACTGGCTTTAAAAAAAAAGACCGTAGAAACAGTGATGGAAACGGGAGTAAAGACCGTGCCTTGCCGACGCTGCGGGTCTGGTTCACCTCCGCCCCGCACCGTCGCGGAGGAGCACGCAGGAGCGGAAAGAACCGGCGCCAACCCGACTGGGGAGCGCACGTCGCATCGGGCCCCTGGGACGCGAACAGGCCGACACCCACGGGCAAAAACGGGCCCCTTTCTCGCGGACGCCGCTCAACAACACGTGCGGCACGACGGAGCCCCCCGCCCCAGGCGTGCACCTCAGTGGCCCCGTTTCCCGTGGGCGTCTGGGGGGGTTCCCGGGAGCGCACGGCCTGCACCCGTATGCGCGGCGCACCACACTCCCCCGACCCGAGCCTGGGCCTCCGGCCTCCGTGTCTGCGAGGCGGGAACGCGGAGACCCGCCCGGAAGAACGGGGGCCCGAGGCCAGGACAAGCGCAGCTGAGGCCAGTCGTCATTTCCGCGTGGTGACGGGTGGGGGGGGGGTGCCTGGGGGGAGGGTCCCCTTCCCTCCTGTCCTTGGAGGGGACGCACTGGGGACGCACACGGGGCGGGAGTGGGCGGGTGGGCGCGAGCGAGCAGCCGCGGGAAGGCCAGATGGGGCCGAGGCAGGCGGTGTCCCCGCTGTCGCCACCGCGGTCCCTCCCTGGCACAGCCCAGCCCGGTCCCCTCGGGCTTCCCGGGCCCGGCCCCGCCGCGCTGCGCTGGCGCGGGAACCTGCCCTTCCCCGCCGCGGCTGTTAGAGCAGCGCCCGCGCGGCGCGGCGGGCGGAAAAGGCAGAGGACAGATGGTGGACGCAGACGACTGACAGGTGTCAGGTCAGCCCCGGGGAGCCCCGAGGTCCCGGCGGCGGTGCCGTCGGAGCGCCCGTTCCCAGGCGACCTCAGGCCAGGGAAGAGGTTCTCCCCCGCCCCCCAGGGCCCCCGTCAAAGCGGCGCCGGCGGGAAGAGGCGGTGAGGGGCCTGGCGCGGCCTCCGCGGACAGAAGCCTCTGGCCCGGCCACCCCCGCAGGCCGCCTCCCGTCCCCGCTGCACCGCCCGCGGGGCGGCCGGGCCGCAGGGGCCGCTGCGGGTCCCAAGCCCGCGGCTCACGCCCCCGCGGGCGGGCGGGCGGGCGGCCGGCCCTCCGCAGGGTCTCCTCCAGACGTTCTAACCGCGTTAGACGCGGGGGCAGCCCACGGGCTGTAGCACAAAAGCTGAAACGGGCTAAAACGACCGGCGACGGGGGCGGGGGAGCGGCGGCAGAGGCGCGTCTGGAGGCCCCGGGCCGGCGCCGAGTCCCCGCAGGCCCCCCGGGCGCCCCCCTCCCGCCCCGCACAAGGTACCTGGGGCGCCGTCGAGGCTGAAGGCGATGCGCACCGGCCGGTCCGCAGGGACCCTGGCGGCTCTGATCATGTGGGCGCCGGGGCGGCGGCCGTCCCCCGGGGCTTCCAGCTGCGGGGACAAGAGGCAGCGCGTGTCACCACCCGCGTCGCCCGCCCCGCGCCCCTCCCCCCCGCCGCCCCGCGGGCCTGGAGCCCACGGTTACGCGGGTCTTCCTCCGAGACCCGCCGCGGCCGGTGACCAGCCCTCCTCCCCTGCGTCCCCGGCGCTCTCCGCCGGGTTAGGTCCTTACCCTGGCTCACAAAACTGCTGCTGTGGAAACACACGCCTGGAATGGCAGGGGCCGGGTTTTTGGGCGGCCCTTCGCCCCGGCCCTTCGGGGTCCGGTCTCTGGCGGAGCCGGTAGGGAAACCCTCACGGTTCTCCAGGCCGCCTCCCTCCCACGCGCCCGCTGCGCGAGCTGGGAAGTCCGCGCTGGACGCGAGCTCCCGGCCCGGGGTGGTCACCGACCAGGACCACGGGGTCACTTGAAGGACACCAAGACCCCGTCAGAGCATCCCACAGCAGGAACACCACGGGCCTCGCGTATCTGACCAACTACCTGCGAGTCTGCCGCCGCCCCTGAGGCCGCGCGTCTTAAGGACGGGCGGTACGAGCAACAGACAAAACTCGGAAACGTGCTTTCGGTGCTGCGCCTCCTCTGCTAAATTACCGTTTGGTTAACAAACGGGGGTGGGGTGAATGGGGACACACCTATGGATGACATGGGCTGGGGCGTGCAAACACACAACTGTTTCTTTGTTGTAGTAAGAGAGTTTAGCCCAAATACATTTAAACCAAGATACGTGACCATTTTTGTTCACTAGGAAAAGATATTGTTATAAATACATCTTTGTTATTTAAATACGTCTATTTAAATTCTCTATTTTTAGTCATGTTTTCCCTAAACCCTCTACTTTCCTTCTCGTGTAGACTGTAAACCAAAAACTCCGAACGATATTGTAAGGAAAACATCTCTAAAAATGGCAAAACACGGACCGTCTGTTCTGCCGTCTTTAGCGGGACTCTGGGAACGGCCTCGGGGGGACAAGAAGGTCCTTCTCACAAGAAGGTCCCTGCGTCTTTCCCACAGCTCCTCTCGCTCTAAAAATAGTGGGCAGAACACTGGGTTTTGTTTGCATAGTTATTTATAGCTGAGGGGCCGACGCATGTATGTGCACATGTGTGCTCAGGCAGAGCGCATACGGGCTCGTCTCCCGCGGCGGGCAGCAATCGGGCTCACGCCGGACGCTCGGCTGGGCTTTGGGGGGCGGCAGCTGTTCGGGCCCCAGTTAGAACGCTGGTCGCCCGCTCACTGCGCACTGCTGACGGCCGGCGGCCGCCCCCCGCGCTCCGAGGTGCACCGTCCTGAGGGAGGAAGGGTGGGAGCGCGGCACCTCCAACCGCGGGGCAGGGTGCACGCAGACTGCGGCTGCTCGCCCCGGGACTGGCTCCTCCCGGCCCCCGAGAACATTTCAGCGCAGCCCCATCTGCTCAGAACCACCTGTCCCCGGGGAACAGAAGAGACTCTCTCAAATTTAGCCAAGCAAACAACAAAAATCCCTTAATGTTGTAGCAAAAAGAAAATATTGGCACACACAGTGCCATCAGCAAGCCGTGTTACCAACGGTCTGAGGGCACGGAGCCGGGCTCCAGCTCTGCCGGAGGCTCGCAGCTCCCCGGCCCCGGGAAACGGGGCGCAGAGGGGCCACCTGCCCCCAGGGCTCCGGGAGGTCCTCGGAGACAGACAGCGAAGCGGGTGACGGACACGGGCACAGGCGGCAGCGCGGCTCCCCCGTGCGCTGCGACATCTGCCTGCCTGGACAGGGCGGCAGGGGCCGAGGCGGGTGCAGCTGGAGCCCCCCCACCCCACCCGGCGCCGACTGCAGAGCCCGACAGCGGCGTGCCCTCCCGCCCGCCCCGGGCCGCGGCGGGCCGTGGTGAAGCGCCCGCACCCGAGCAGCTAGCCGGGCGCGCACCTGTTCCTCACCTCACTCGGTGGAGTGTGCGCCCGTGTGTGATCGGGGCCAGCACGGCCTTGGCCGGTCGTCCTCGCTGCGAGGCAGAGGCTCAGTCAGAGACGGCTGCACCTGCCGCGTGGCGGCCGCTGACCGTCTGAGGGGCAGTGACAGCTGTCAGGCCGGCTCCGCTACCTGCTGTCCCCAGACCCGCGTCCCACGGGCCTCCTGTTCCGCTTCCCGCTGCCACCCTCTCCTGCCCTCGCCTCTGCAACAGCCGGGATGTGGTCATGCTTCTAGAAAAAGCAGGCGCGAGAGCAGCCCTCCTCCTGTCAGAGGCATTGATAAACAGCGAGCCGCGGGGAGTCCAAACGCTCTAATTCATCAGTCCTGGCAAACCGAAAATACGAGCAGCTTGCTTCACACGGCAGGAATGTCTTCGGCGTGACCCGGCCAGCGTCTGGCTATTCCAGCGGACTGGCACACACAGCTGACCCCAGTCAGCAGAAATGCCGCGCAGCCGGCTCCGGGACACCGGGCCAGCTCCACGGGCCGCAGGCCGGGGGACCGATGACAGCAGCAACCACCCCCAGGAAGGACTCGAGGCCTGGGGTCAAGCACCGGTGACTGGCTCACATCTGGAGACGCCACCAGCTGCAGGACCCACCCGTGGTGCACGGGAAGGGGGTGTCAGCGCTCTAACAGCCGTGAACCCGAACGTCCACAGTGCTCTAGCCCAGCTGGAGGGGGCAGTGAGGTTGAACAAGGAAAGATACACACGCATTGAGAGAACGCAAAGGCAAGCCACAGGCTGGGAGGCAACCTTTGCAAGAGGTGTGTCCGACAGAAGCCGGGCTCCCAGAGTGCAGACTTCTGAACACCCACCACCAGGAAAGCAGACAGCCCAACTGTTCAATGGGCAAAAGCTGTAACAGGTGCCCCATCGTCGGGTGCAGGGATGGCAAGCACCACGTGTCCTTAGGTGACTGCAAATTAAAACAGGGAGGTGCTGCCACACACCTGCCGGAACGGACACCTCCCGGCACTGGGAGGACGTGGGGCGGCTGGCGACCCCGAAGACAGTCTGGCAGCTCCTCACTCGACCAGCAGTCGGGGGTTTGCACCGAGGGCACGGACACCCGTGTCCACACACACACACACCTGCGCGTGCAGCGCCGTGCGGTGACGGAGACAGCGCCCAAGCCACAGACAGACACGGAGGAGACGGCGTGTGTGTCACTTCCTGAAGGAACCCAACATCAGAGGCTGCGTGCCGCGTGGTTCCAACCGCACGGCATTCTGCAAAAGGCACGAGCACGGACACGGTGCAAAGACCCGAGCTCGCCAGGATCCAGGGGGAGGGGCAGGGCCGAGGACGGGGAGGGCAGGGCCCTGCAGGGCAGTGACGCTACTCGGGGTGATACTGTCCGTCGGTCACAACCCAGAGGGTGCACAACCCCAAGAGTGAGCCCTCGTGTAAACTACGGCATTCGGTTCGTGGTGATGTGTCAGCATTGGCCCAACTGTAACAAAGTGCAAGGTGTTACGACAGGAGACATTATGGGGGAGGGAATATATGGAAACCCCATGCTTCTTACTCATTTTTTAAACCAGTCAGCCTAAAACTGCTCAAACAGATGTCAAATAAATGAGTAAAAGAACTTAGCAGGCCCTGGCTGGTGCGGCTCAGTGGACTGAGTGCCAGCCTGTGAACCACAGGGTCACCAGTTCGATTCCCAGGCAGGGCACAGGCCTGGGTTGCAGACCGGGTCCCCAGTAGGGGGCGCACGAGAGGCAACCACACATCAATGTTTCTTTCCCTCTCTTTCTCCCTCCCTTGCCCTCTGTTAATAAATAAATAAATAAGTAAGTAAGTAAATAAAATCTTTTAGAAAAAGAACTTAGGTTTCCGAGAGCCAGAATGAAAAGCTAACACGTGTTGTGCAACTCAGTCAGTGCGCAGATTCAGGAGACTGGTCACCCGCAGGTGAGCCTACGTGCGTTCTGACAGAAAGCCTTTCCGGAAGTTATGACCGTTACGACTTTATTTGACAGTTGACGACATCCCCTCACATATGCATCACAGTTTAACAAAGGGGTCTCGCCACGGCCCGGTCTCCAGCTTCCCAGCGCCCTGGCGGGGGCGTGGCCCACACCGTCTGTCCCCCCACCCCCACCGCACAGACGAGAAGCCGAGATGCAGACAACGCAGGGGCAGGCTGGAGCCGCCCCCACCGCAACGGGACGCCGTCTCTCCCAAACAGCAGGCCAGGCTCCCGGCTCAGAGCAGAGCCGGGGCGCCTCCCTCGGTGTCTGGCCTCCAGGGTCGTCTGGCCCCGGCCGTCTTCAGGGCAGAGCCCCGGGCAGCCGCACAGGCGTCCTGGGCGTGGGGACAGCTGCGTGCAGCCCCGTGGCCCCGGCTCCCAGGTCGTCCGCCCCTGGGTCCGCTTCAGAAGAGCTGGTGGTGACCCTGATGTTGCCAATGGGGGCAGTGGCTGGAAGCATCTGGAGTCCGGTGAAACTGACCCCTCGGAACAGGAAGGGCCAGACAGAAGGAGGCAGCCCTTCCCTCCACCACCCAGACCCCCAACGCCCTTGGGGACCCCCAAGGTGGGAAGGGGCCGCCGCACACAGAGCACAGTGGGGGCCGTCACCTCTCGGGAGAGTGAGGAAAGCGGCTGGCTGACTCAGCCCAGGTCCCTGATGGCCCGGGACGGCCTGGGGCACGGGCTGCGGGGCCGATGGCACCGTGTCCTCGTGACAGCGAGGGTGGCACTGAGGGTGACAGCGAGGGTGGCAGCGAGGGTGGCAGCGAGGGTGGCAGCGAGGGTGGCAGCGAGGGTGGCACTGAGGGTGGCAGCGAGGGTGGCAGCGAGGGTGGCATCTCAGTGCTGCGGCGCGGGCCCCGCTGGGACAGAGCTACGAAGGAAAAGGCCCCATGCAAGGGCCATCTGGCAACAACGGGACAGAGAGAACACGACGTCTAGACGGGCTGTGTGTTGTGCCGGCTCCAAGGGTGAGTGTGTGAGCTCCAGGTCTCACACCACACGTAGTGCTCACCAGCCCCCTCCGGCTCCCACGGGGGGAGCAGCAGCGACCGATCTCCTTGGCTCCTTAGCTCGCCGTTCCCAGCAAAGCCACACATCTGAGACGCAAGTGGAGCCCCTCCAGATCCGGGACCCACACAACCACGCGGTGTGTGGAGGAGGATTCAGTAGAATCCCAGCGACTCCACCAGAAAGAGCTGTGTGTCCGTCAGAACACTGATGGACTCACAGTGTGTCTCCTTCCACTCCATCGTTCTCGGCAGGAAACGCAGTCTGACCGCTGCGCAGACACGGATCTTCCCGGGACGGAGGGACCAGGGGCTGCTCCGACGACGCACCGCAGCCGTGCTTCCGCAGCACGGCCGGCAGGCCCCCAGCGGCTCAGGGCGCAGCCTGTGCTCGCCGCTGACCTGACCTCACTGGCCCGACGGGCATTCTGGGGAGACTTCGTTTGCTCTGCACTGGTGCTCCCCAACTCCGCCTCCATCCTGGGTTGGTGCCCCCTGGTCACACCAGGCTCTGCCGTGGCGGGGCCTCTGTCGGGCTGGGGGGTCTGCCGGTTTGCGGCGCACAGGAGACACCGTTACCTGTGCGCGGCGCTCACAGAATGGCACACAGACGCGGCCACCGGCTCCTCCCCATTGGGCCCCTGCTCCGTGACGCACGCGGCCTCCACACAGGGGCCCAGTCCACGGCGGTGAGCCGATCGGCCTTCCCCGCGGCCGTCGGTCGGTTTTCCCTGGAAAGAGCCGGAAGACGTGTGTTTTGCACGGGGACCGCTCTGGTCTCCCAGGGCAGCCCAGCAACGGGTGGGCTCTGACTCCGTTTCCAAACACGGGCGACGAGGGGCGTGGCTGTGCGACAGTAAAGCTTTCTTTACAAAGACGGACGGCTGCCTGGGTTCAGCCCCCCTGAGTCCTGCCGCACCTGCCGCACCTGCCGCACCTGCCGCACCTGCCGCACCTGCCGCCACCTGCTGCACCTGCCGCACCTGCCGCACCTGCACGCGGAGGTTGACCTGAGTCAAGTGATCGCAGCGATGCGGGAAGACGACGACACCACGCAGGTAGGAACGACTGTCCCAAGGGGCAAAAACAGTGGGGAAACCACACCCAAAGGTGTCAAGAGAGCTAGAAAAAGCCGGACGTGACCTGGGATTCGGCTTCCCAACTCCACAGGCGTGCAGACCAGACCCTCGGACCCCCGAGCCTCGGCGTCTCCTCCGGGGCTCCCCTCAGCACCTTCCCGGCGGCACTCGAGGCTTCCCAGGCCAGAGGCCTCGTCGCAGCCGCCCGTCGCTGCCCCTGCAGCTGAGGAGCGAGCAGCCGGCAACTATCACCGACAGGCGGATGGACTGCAGGAACCGCACCCGTAGAAAGGGGGCGACGGGGCAGGCGTGGTGGCCGGGCCCCGTGGGACCGGCTGCTGGGATGCACTTCGGCCTGTGGGTGACGGGCACCGCGAGGTGGTCTCTGCACAGCGCCCCCCCCGCGGTGATGGAGCCCCCCGTGGTGGAGCCCCCCGTGATGGAGCCCCCCGCGGTGATGGAGCCCCCCCCCGTGGTGGAGCCCCCGGTGGTGGAGCCCCCTGGTGGTGAAAACAGGGCCCAGCGCCCGGGGTGCGCAGATGCTGGTCTCTGACGTGTGCCTCCTCGTTCACCACGTGACCCCGACACATGCCTGTCAAAGTCAGGCCCGAGCACACGTGTCCTGGATGCCTGTCAGACACTTCTCAACGAGCTCCAGTTTCCAGGCCCTAACGTCACTGAAATCATTCAGAAAACTCCTGACACTGTCTCTCGAAGTCCCAAACACGGACCGGCCTGGTCTATCACGTGCCGTGGGCAACTGTCCTTCTGCTGCGAGTGTCTTTCCTGTGACACCTGCTGCAGGGGGGCCGGACGCCAGGCACACCTCCCCTGGGAGCGAGGGGAGGGACAGTGAGTCTCAGCTCTGAACGAGGGTCCTGTCACTGCAGGAGTCGCCCAGTGCACATCAGCTCGAATACCCCAGCGCATCTGTCTGCTGGCCCCTGAGACTGTGTTACAGAGCACACGGGGCCGAGGGGGGCTGAGGGCAACGCACTGTCACCGAAAGGAGCCCTCAAGGTCCACTATGTCCGCCGCCAGAGGAAAGACGGCTCTCAATGCCAGAGATTCATGAAAAGGAAAGGAAATGTTTATTTGATGCTGCACAGACTTAAAGTAGTGACCCAATGTCTTCATCAAAATCCCCAAGTCCCTTAAAACACCCACAAACACACACAGTCCTTCCTTCCCCTTTGCCCAGTCCGGGGTACCG